TACTTATCAATAATTTCTTTAAGGATTCACCGTCCTTCCCGCTGAACAGCAAAGAATTTTGCTTACCTGGGTGCCAAGTCATTGTCAGATCTAGGTCACTGCTTACAAACTGTTTAGATTTGCCACCGGGCGACGTCCAGCAACCAACCAAACCGACAACATTTTCGGTAAAATTCTTCAGAGATATCAGATCATTTGACCACTTTATACGTGTACCATCATAGACTAAGTGTGTATTAATGTTTAGCAATTTTATTGAGGGTATATCAACACGATCAAGACTAAAATTCCTTACTGTAGGCGAGTTTAAAATTTCGCTGCCTTCCGCCATTGTTATGGCATGAGGTTAACACAGGATTTGGGCCGATATATTTTGGCCGAATTTTGTCATTCCCTCACGGATTTTAGAATGAATTTAAGCTCTTTGATTAAAGCATCGTTGTTTTGAGAGTTATACGGTATCATTCTTGCAGGGAATATCGATTAATCGTGAAAGAAATGCATTAAAGGCGAAAAATCGAGGATAGTTTTGTGTGACATATGCCAAGTCTGGGCTATCTTGGTCTCAATGTTTCCTTCCTTCCCTCGTTATAAGGAAGGCACAGGCGGGCGCGGGCAAATAGAGCCTGGGCCTCTGTGACTTGGATAGTTTATTTGGTTGTTAAGCCAACATTAAGCAAATACTCTATATTTCAGTTTTTGCCCAATATAAACAATTGACATATTTGCACACATATATATTTATGTAAAAAAGAGCATAATTATAGTGTACAAGGAATAGGAATGGACAAGAGTTGATACGAGTGATAGGAGCCTTAAGAAATCCTTTCAGCTTTCAGGCGAGCTTCTATTTCTTATTTGCTATTTTCCTTCATGTGACTTTTCTTTTGCTATTTTCCTTCATGTGACTATTTTCCTTCATAGATTTTTCCTCCCACAGGGAAAGTTGACAGGGTGGGTTAGGCACATAGGATAGGTCTGGAGGCAGATCATTAATGAGGTATGGACTAATAGCGGCTGCTCAAGCGCCATTTGTAAGCTCAAAGTCTACCTCGGTCTGCTTCACGTCAGTCTGGTTCTATCTATCTATTCATAATGTAACCAGTCACTGAAAAGCCCTGTTAGGGAGTGTGCTGTGAAATATCTATCTATCTAACTGCCAACACCTTGGATCACTTGCCTTTGTAGCTTTACTTAATACACATCATGTTGATCTGCAGTATCATTCTAATATATATCTCCACAAAGGGCCTTCGCAAGAAAGTGGAAATATTCCTAATATTTCTTGGTATCAACATAGAGGGTTTGTTAAACGTAAACATGCATAGTTACCTTCATTCGAGATGTAGCTTGTAGAACAGTGTGAACTTTCTTGATAAGATCTTTTACCTCCGTACTTAAAGATGTGTACTAGACAGAGAAACAATATTATATACGGCGACTTTAAAAATGAATGTTTTAAACATAGATTTTTACAAAAAAGGAGACGTTGTACAGATATAGTGAAGGGGAACAATTGTATTGTGTATAAGCAATACTACACGATTTACCATTAATACTTTATCACCACTGACATAATTTCTTAAAGCAATTAATGAACTACTCATTGAAGCTCCATCTTGGCCCAAGGCAATCAATTTCGAGACAGCGACTAAAACCTGGATAAAAGATTTATTAAGGAATATTGCAAAATGAAGTATTTTTAAAATCGAAAATATATATAAACTCTATTCACCTGTAGATGTACTCGAATGCAACCAGCTCCACCACTAAATTCATAATTACTTCTCATCAATAGATACAGCAGAGAATGAGCCTGATAATTAACATTAAACACACTTTATCATGGCTTGCCAGATCAATAATAACTCATGAGCAGAACAAAAGCTGGGCTCGTACAGTTCAGGAAGAGAAAAATTGAAGCACTTTCAAGGCTATGTATAAAGAAATTCAAGGATTAAAGGTGACTTTAAACTGTTCACAGTCATTGAAATTACTTTAATGAATTTTATTTTTCAAACAGCTTTGTAAGACATGAACAAAATCAATTCAACAAAATGACTGTTTTTTAATGTTATAGGCACAGAAGATAATAAACTGACAAATTTTAGAAAATATCCAAAAACTAAAGCAAGACACATTTAAGGACTTTCTTTCAAGCACTTCTTTATAAATTCATGGACTTTCACTAGGCCTATAGCATTTTTGGTTTCAAATTCAAGGAGTTTCTAGTTTTGTAGGAACCCTGAAAAAGGAATCAGCAACGCAACCCAGACTTGATATAACACCACGAGTGTGTTTACTTATCACTACACCTAGACGAATCATGCATGAGAACAGAGGAACTCAGGGGATTTTTACCTGATGACGAACAATTTCCAGCTTACTACTGCAACATCTTAGAACCTAAAATACAATGTTTTTTATAAGCTACTGTACTTTGCGAAAACAATTGTACACAAAATAAGTGAACAATGTACCAAATGTAAAGAAAAACAGTTCGTGTTTCTTTACTTAAAATCAGCAGAAGCATATAATATATATGTATAGCACCATGCCATTGAATTTCAAGAACATTTTAACTATAATTCTATAAATATAGTATTCCTTACAAGTTACATATATTTAAATTGTATTCACTATGCCTATGGGGTTTTGAAAAGTAGGATTCCAACTAAACCGTCTAAACGTCGTTGAATTACTGTAAGCAAGTAGTTTTTAAACCATTGGTTTTGCATGAGGGAAATTGTATGGCGAATAAAAAACTATACACACTTTGCAACAAAATTTTCTGTGAGTAAACTATATTTAACAATTTTAAATTGTCTTGTTTAAGATCTTATGCATGTAAATATCGTTCTGTGTCTTTTTAAGATGGTAGAATACGATATGGTATTTTTCATATATCCATTTTTGGAATTCTTAAACCCATCTTTAATATATCGTCTATTCAGACGACGATTTAAAATTTTCGAAATACTGTAACCCACTACACAGTACGCATATATAGGCGCTACCTCGTAAATCAGACGACCACAATGCTCTCCAGCACCCTTGAATAGAGCTGTCGGAAACTGAGAATAGAGATTACAAAAATAAGATTAATATTTATGAGAGATCACCCAGATTCAAAACTGTTTAAGGAATGATATGTTACATATAATATTAAAATATAATATAATTTACAACATTACCTTGTGGATAAAAGATCTCAAACTTGCAAACACATGTCTTAGCATTTTTTCAGATTGACCAACTTGAAGGAAAGTTAATAAAACACCAAACACCTACAAAAACAATTTTATGAAATAAACCTTTGATTTTCTATTATCTCTTGCTAACATGCACTCCTGATCTAGACTGAAAGTTTTACGTTCTTTCCATGTTAGCCAAGAATCAGTAGCAAACACGATGTTCACCATTTATCCCTGATTGGACAGGAATATATCCTAACCCGTACTTAAATGTATATTACCCCTTTCACACCATCTCACACACGTATACGCACCTTACTCATCACGACATTGTTTCCCTCGTCTTTTTCTAAGTGAAACTGTAAAAGAAAATTTATCAAATCTTATTACATTACTCACTACAATCTTGCAACACTTTCAGAGAAAAGGAAAGTATGATTACCCTAAAATGACAGCAAAATAACTCGACCAAATCCAAAACAACCAGGCCAAGCTCGTTAACAAAATTTCCTTCCTTTAAAACTCTGATTTGAGAATCAACATATAATACTAAAAATACAACATGAGATTTATTTACAAAATAAAAAACCTATATTAGGCGATTTTTGAATTTATAATTTTGTTATGTCCTGATAGTGACTTACCAGCTTGATTTTGGCTTTTCAGAGAGGCGCGTGTTGGACGAATATTTTCCTGATATTTCTGCTCAAAATAAGATTTGACAGCATGCTTTGGAGGGCTAAAAATAAGAGAAACACATATTTTAAAGTTCAAATGTCTTTAAATAGTTTATATAACTAGATAAAACAATCAAACGTTTGAGTATACATTATCACGTATACTACATAGGCCTATATAGAATTGTGGTACGAACTGATCGATCATAAAAATAAATTAAATATATCATATGTAATATTATATGTAAATTAAATATATCATTGTCATTGATGGTACCTCTGAGTTGTTATGCTTGCTTTCCCTCGATACTGGAGGTGTTTCACGCTAAGTCTGAAGAAAATGACAAATTATAAGTTTGTATTCACAACATATAGGTCGCGGGTTCGATTCCTACCGTGGCCTAGCCTGCCCGATTTTAGGGACCGCCTGCCATGCAGGCTAACCGTGGCCAAGCTAACTTTTCAGCTTGCCCGGTGTGGATGCACACTCAGAGTAACATCACAAACATCATATTCACCGAGTACATAACACCAACATACACAAAATAATCATATACTACTTATTAATAACGTGGCATGTTCAACGTGCCACGTTGAGAAGTGGTTAATATTATCTTACACTTATTTCTAATGAGTGAACAAGTTAGCGAAGCATATTGCTTTATTTGGTTCATGTGATGATACTCAAAACCTGTCAAGTACATTTAATCAAGTATTAGGCTTGGATGAAGTCTGATCACGTCCTGCGACTGGGTGAAGTTTGATCAAGTCCTAGGACTGGATGAAGTTTGACACGTCCTGCGACTGCATGGGTGAAGTTTGATCAAGACCTAGGACTGGACGAAATTTGATCAAATCTTTGCACTGCATTAAGTTTGATGAAGTCTAAAGATTAGATAAACTTTGATCTTGCAAGGTCTATATGACTGGATTAAGATTGATAAAATCCCAGGACTGCATGAAGTTTGACCAAGCCTTAACACTGGGCTAAGTTTCATCAACTCTAGAGATTGGGACTTGATTAAATTTCATCCTCGGGTTGAGTTCAGTGAATCGGATTTTAAGACCTCGCAATCGAAGTCATTTACAAGGACTTGATCATGTCCTGTTTTCCTATTGCAATTGCAATAATTTATTTTAAATATATTCAATGATAATCTGATATAAATAACCATTGTCCACTTACTGAAGTAAATCAAAGAAGTCGATAACAGACGAAAATTTTGAATACATCTTGTCTTGCTGAGGTCGCAGCGTGCTAAATGGGGTATTCCACGAATTTAACTTGGAATTTGAACTTGAGATCTGTTTGAACCAATCCAGAACAATCGCTATATAAATGTGAAAGGGCGATTTGAGGCTATAACTCTATAATAGTAGTGGTTGGTGGCACTGGGGTGCTCTATTGGCAATTTGGAAGAGTGAATGGCTAGGGACAGTCTCCCGTCTTTCGAAAAGTTAGTCGATAAGACAAAGATTCTACTCTTCTATAACTACTATAAGCAGTAATTTGATTGAGGATTAGTCTGTAAATTGCCATGTACTCCAGGTGATCTTCATACGCGGAAAAATACTGGCACTAGTTGTCAAATAGAAATCCATTTTATGATTAAAACAACTGAATATCTCCTGTAATTTACTTTATTTCGATTCCATATTTTTGTCAGAGCTATAGTTCTCATAACCAAACATAATTACATAATTTCAACTAGGTTTCATAAAGAATAACGAAAGATATAATTGTCTGAATACATCAAAATGGATTTCTATTCGGACAACCCTTTCTGAGCGCTGATTGGCTAAAATACGAACACGAGATCACCTGGTGTATACGTATTGTAAGAATTAGACGTACTTTAAATGAAATTTAAATGAAATTTGGCAACAGTTTACGCCATGGCGATTTATTGAAAAGGTCCGAAGGACGAAACTTGTTTGAAATCGCCTTTTTAGTCTTATTTTAATTGTATATATGGTGTAGAAAGCTGACAATAATAAATGTTTTATAATATCAATGAGTTTAAGTAAAGCTTTCCTGGCTGCAACGACAGATATATCTAAAAAAAAGTTTACGCCATTGATATATGTTAATAATTCAGACTGTATGGTACTTACTTTGTTCCAAATTTTTTAAAATATACAACATACAGAGGATTAAATATTTTGTCTCCTCATCATCGAAAGGCACTTGAGCATTAATCCTGCTAGCAGCTTCAGACAACGACGCAATTGTCGTAGTTCTTGAAGAAATACTGGGAGGGTATGAATCAGAGCCTGAAGCAGTTTCTGTATTTTGATCACTTGCTTGAAGTATCGTTTGTGAAGATGACCAAGTCTTTTCAGAATGGTGACTGCCAGGAAACCTTCCAGCATGTTCCAAGGTTACGGTCAGAAAGGGAAGATACAGGGCTGCTATACGGGATTGTTTTTCCTATATGGAAAACAGGCGAAAGTTCGATACAGTATAATATACACTATAGTAAAAACCGATAAGAACGATTATCAAAGGTGATGGAAAAGGAAGATAGAGTGCAGATATAAGCCGAGTAATGTTACATTTTACTAAGAGACTAAGAGACTAAGTACTTCGGAAATGGTCAGTATGACCGCGGGCTCAAAACAGCACATGTAATGAAAAATAAGATAGGAAAAATATTGTATTCGAGAAAGGTATTCTGCGTTCAAACCCGAAATTAAAACTTTGTTGATTGTATTTTACAAATTATGTAAAACCAACAACCCGTGTAACACAGTTTATACGGGATTGTTTCTCCCATATGCAGAGCAATGATGCTATACACAAGAACAACTGATAATTGCTCTGCAGACTGTAATATAAGGGCGCCGTGCGTGTATCTAAACTACCTAAAAAAGATCGAAACGCTTCGAATTCTAGATCGAATGCCTTTCAAGAGTACCTAATGCCTGGTCAAGGCCCTTGCTAGAAAGCAAAAGCAGAAGTGCATGTTAAATAAAGTTTTCAAGTAGCAGCTCATTGTCGGGGGTGGAAGCGGAATTTACAATAGTGAGTTGTTGTAAACTAGTTTGAATATGAATATTTGAGGTAGAATAACTAGAATATGAATACAGTATTTGAAGCAATGTTGAAGTAAATATATTCCGCTATCTCCATGGATCATCACGGACTTCTTTGGAGGAACTTTTCAGGTACTGTAGTTTATCAATCACAATCCCCTTTTCGAGATTAAGGGACCCCAGGTTTGAGTAATATATCTGGTTACGTAGTAGAAAATGTTTCCTACAAATTAAATACCTTTTCAGAATATCTAACATCCAGTTCATGTTTTACCAGTAAATCACGAAATATACGAATGGCCATTTTACGAATAAGTCTTCCTCCAGCAAGAGCTTGGCTAACCTAAAACATCAGTTGGGGTACAGGTGAGCAAAGAAACAACACAAAGGGGTAAAGTAAAGTAAAGTAAAGTAGAAGTAGAGTAGAGGTAGGTAGGTGAAAAGTAACGCAAGATCACTATTATCAATAGTATAATCGAGTAAAGAAGAGCAGGTTGAGCGCTACTGCAGAAAAGAGATGCAAAATTAAAGTGAAGTGACAAAATCAAACAATAACGACCTACCTGTCGTAGAAGCAGTCCACATAGAAAGTGATTCTTGCAGTAACTATCTGTAAGCTCGTACTCATACAACTCGCCAGTTGCTCGACAGTCCAAAGGCAAATTAAGCGGAATATAGTGCTCGTGTTGACAAATTATTCGCAAGAAATCGAACCTAAATTCCATCATCTAAAATACAAGGTATAAAAAATTTACCCAAGCTAGAACTTAAATTTTAGGTTTCCATGTCTTTACGTAAAACAACATACGAAACAGTAACTTCAACAGATGAATTAAACGGTGTATTTTTAAAGCTATGAAATACACAAAGTCAATAAAAATAACTTATTATCTGAAGACACTTAAACCCACTTAATTCTTAAAAAACATTTTTCGATTCCTGCCAGAGGGCCTATTATAGTCGCATTTTTTCCAACTGCCCCTGGTTAGGTCTAATAAATGTATAAAATTCACAAAACCCTTCTACAATTAGTTATATTGAGTGACATAAATCCTTTTATTATATACACAAGGTCTGGATATGAGGTATTCTGCAATCTGATTGGTTCTCTACCAGCAGGATATTAGCTCATATCCTGCTAGTAGAGAAAAAACAAAATGGCGGCTCGAACTGAATTTCCGACGTTTGCGAACGAGAAAACGACAAGTTGTTCGCTTTTTATAGCTTTTGCAGGATTAAAAACACAATGAAAAAACTCGCACAAATTGTTTACAGGTTAGGAAATTAATTTTTAAAATTTAAAATGGTTAAAAATATATATTTTTGAAAAATAATCGGCCGAAAGAGCGAAGATAAAAACATAAACAAAATAGAAAAATATTGAAAATATCCGAAAAGCAAAATCTGTGAATTCAGACCTTGTGTATATAATAAACAGTTATTCCACTCACTCTCGTCGAATATGAGCGATAGCCGATTCGGCGCTACGCGCCTCATCGGCTATCAGCTCATATTCGACTCAAGTTCGTAGAATAACTGTTAAATAT